GGGAGTTATTATAAATTGTTGTGCAATTTTACATAATATGGCAATACAGGAGTATACTTAAATTATATTTTTTTGTTTAATTTGGAATTTGACATGGTTAATTTTTACTTTTCAGAATACGCGAAGAGTATTTACATTACAATGTGGATGACAATATATATAATGAAAATCAACTGGCAGGGCATGACGGACAAAATATTCAAGATATTCAAGATAGACAGGGTGGAAGAGTTGTAAGACAACAAATTGTGCAACAATATTTTAATTAAATTATAATACATTACACTTTTTTTCCTATATCGAATATCAATATTTCTTTAATTTTGTTGGTATACATTTTTGCTATCTCTTTATAAATTATAATTATTATTAATTATTTTTTCTTAAAATTATATGTTTCTTTAATCAATAAAATAAATTACAAAATAAATATATACTTACCAAAAGGCTATAATTATTGTAATTCATTGTGGAATAGATTTCTAAAACTGTAAGTGCAATATGTAAATATTGCAATACACGGTTACCTACCTGAACATCAATTTTCATTAATTATTTCATACTACCTACCGTACAGTTATAACTTATAAGTAAGGTAAGTAGGTTAGGTTAGGAAGTGATACATTAAAATGATATGTCTTAACACCATACATTTTTAAATAGTGAACACAGTTTTCGTGCATTAATAATTAAACAGCAAAAACATGAGAAAAAATAAAAAACAAAATAAATATGTACTTACCTCGGTACTTACCTAAAGGCTGTAACTATTGTAATTAATGGTGGAATAGATTTTTATAACTCTAAGTGCAATGTTTAAATATAACTTACAATTATAACTCATAAGTCATCCAGAAGTGATACATTAAAATTATATGTCCCAACACCATACATATATAATCCATGCATTAATCTTAAGCAAAAAAAAAAAGCACAAGTACGAATAAACAATAAGTCAAGCAACCAAAAACTTATTAAACAGTTAGCCAATAAAACACAAAATAATCTTTTAAGCCTTTATTAATAGCATTATTAGCCAATTGTGCAGATATTACTGTAAGCGCGTTAGTTAACTTTGCAATGTTATCACTCATGCTGGTGATTGCATGCACAACAGACCCCATCTGCTCTGTATTTTCACGAATAGCTTCAGTCATAGTCTTGAAAAAAAAAATTAAATGTTTAATACAACATAGTATATTATTCTTGCTATTAATTATGTTTAGCTTGTAAATTAAGTAGGATAACAAGCAGCAACCAGTAAGTAAAATTTAAATTTACTATTGAAGTACTATTATGATTTGATAATTTGTTTCAAAATTATATTTTAAAAAGGGCCCTGTTAGAAGTGGTATGAAGGCATTTTACTCTTCAAATGAGATACTTCTAGATCGATCATTGTAAGATATTATGTGTTGAATTTGAATTCAATAAATCATTAATATGAAGACTGCAAATAAGCCTTACTACCCACTGGCTACCAATATAAAATAAAATTATTTTACACTTAAAAAATAATTTAACATACATTGAATGAATAACTTACCATACATTGAATGAATATTGAATAACTTACCATACATTGAATGAATAACTTACCATCGATAAACTTAAACTTACTTTTAGAGTACTATTTGTTTCTTCCACAAGATTTTTATAGGTATCACCTTTGGATGGTTTTACTTTCGGTGTCAGTGGAGTGGTTAATTGTGAAAGGGTGATATTGTATTACCTTTATAATTTAAAATAACTGTGTCAGCAGCTATTTCCTAAAAAAATATATATAATATGAATAATAAATATTTATATAAGATAAAATAAAATATAGTTACTTCTAAATCCTCTATCCCTTCATTTACATAAATTTCTTCAGCCATAACAACTTCACCAAAATCTCCTTCTCCTTCATCCACAGTATTTGAACACTAAAAATATAGTAGGTATCAAATATTTTATATAAATTCTATTCAGAAGTTACTTAAAATAATATCCTTTTATTTTTAAAGCATTATTAAATAAAAATTATATTTCTAACAATAATTTATGACATTTGCAAGAAATGTATAGGTCTGACTTAGCACTTTTTAAGATAGGTTAAACTTTTAGGTAGGTAATAAATACAGAACAAATATGTTAATAATTAACATTCATTTGAACATAGCTGAACTTAATCAACAATATTTAAATTGCATTATTAAAGACATTTAGCAGGTAATAAATGAAGCATTAATTAAAGAATATTTGCATACCTCACCAAATCCATTCTCTCCTACCCCAATACCAACTGAAGTTTCAGTACCAATTATTGATAAAATTAGTTGATGACGGTCATTGGGTTCAGGGGGTTTATTAGAAGATGAATTCCCAGTCTGGCTCAAATACTTATTCCAAGCACTATTAACTTTACGAGCCATACATTTTTCATTACGCCAACACTGGAAATAATAAAATGTACAGGTATTTACTATTTTCTATTATTTTTGAACTTCAAATATTCTAATGCTTCATAGGTCTCGCTACACGTTCAGCATATAAGTGTGATAGACACATAATAAAGAAAAACATTCAAGATAGGTAATTACTTTACATTAAGTAATGCTAGTATATGGTAAAATATTTTAATTATACTAATATCTACTTGTAATATTGTAGTCATAATAAATAATGTAAAAATAAAAACATGATTATTTTATTGTTGAATATAAACATGGGTGAAGTTGGGTGGCCAAAAATAGGTGAATATTATAATATAATATTATTATTTTTAGCTAACTATATTAAAAAAACTAATCAAGAAAATAAATAGTTGTTAGCAATTGCCAATTGGTAATGACTAATGATAAATACTAAACATACTATACCTACTTAGATATTATAAAAAACAGGATATAGTATAGGAATTTAATATTACTTTTTTCCACTGCTCTACTGTCTTAGGAGGTCCCATTTCATTGAGATTGTCCGCTAATTCTGCCCACTCGACGTCCATTTGCCTTTTTCCATTATGAGGATCTTTGAATTTTCCTGCGGCAAATTTTGGTTCATTACTCATGTAATTAATGAGTGCAGCTATCTGATCGGACCCTCTTTTTTTCTTTTTGTCCACGCTTACAAATGAAAACAAATTCAAATTATAGAAAGTTATATTGGTATAGTTACTAATTTCTGAACATTAACTGTGAAAACTACTATATTATATCATAATAAACTTACTTTTTTGAAGACATACTTTATTTTTGAATATCCTCACAAAACAAAACAAAACTAAAACAAAAACACAAATGGCTCTAAGCCTTTAATAATTAAAATCAAATACTGTATAAAATATAAATATTATATTAATTATAAATATAAAATATCATAATCATATAGTATTTTATGTAGGTATACCCAAATACTGAAATACCTATGTAGTATGTACCTACTGTCCTACTATATAGAAAGGCAATACGGCATTATCAGCACTCGGCATTTCAATTATCAAGATAATTATGCTTACAATTTATTATCTATTATAATAATTACGGTTAATTATATTGGCAACATTGTAAAATATACAATAATACCGTATTCTAATTAAGTCATTTAATATTTTAGTCACTTGTACACTTTTAGTCTTTGAATATTAAGTCGTCTAAGTTATCAGCTTACGGAATCGGAAAAATAAAAAGACGCCAAATGTTGGGTGACTTAAAAATGCCATGACTGAATAAATTTTAGTTTTAGTCATGGTATAGAGAATCGCCCTACAGGACCCAGTGCGGGCGGCCATCTACCAACGGGGCTGGGCGGACCGCACAGCGGACATCGAGCGGAGGCTGCGTCCGCGCGGAACGACCTCGACGCCAAGCAGCCGCACCTCGTCGTTGACAAGGCCACCACCACCGGGAACCACCCCTACCCCCGTGGCACCCGCACCCGTAACACCTGTGGAGCCGACAACGGTACCCGGGACAACGGGGGTACCCCCCGTACCGACGGTGAAGGTTAAAACGGAGGCGCAGCGGGCACGGAACAAAAAAAAGTTCCAGCAACTTAAGGCGAAGAGGATGGCCAGGGAAAGCAAGGCAAGCCAACAACATCGGCTTGCCAAGCAACCTGCACCAGCCTCGGACCCGGAAGGGGCCAGCACGCTCCCGTTCGATCCAACACCGTCGGCAGCAATGGAGGTAGACCCTCCGGCGACCAAGGACGAAAAATCCAAGGAGCCGGAGCAATCTACCAGCCAGGCACCACCAAACCAATCAAAGCCATCGGCCGAGATAACCGAGGAAGATTGGTTGGTGGCGTTCGAGGGGCTACCGGAGTTGGAGTACTCACACACGTACTACACTCCTGTAGGGTCCCCGGACCACCACTAAAAACACCCACGGGCGTGGGCAAGTCTACCTCAAGCGTAAGCCAGAGGTAGTACAAGCCACCCCGTCCGAATAACTACACGCCGACACTGGTACAAGTGAACCCCGTGTGGCGGTTTGGCGGGGGAGTATGACGCGGTACGCAGCGGCCACCAGTACAAAGTACAGGTACCGCAGCGACCCGTCTACACTTTTGTCAACCACCACCACGGACTACAGCGCGGCAGCACCAACTCTCCCACCGCGCCTAAAAGGCACAAGGTGGGACGGGAAGGCAAGTCGCGCAAAACGAGTACTGGCCGCCGGCGGCGTCTCTCTCTTACGTCAACCGTCGAAACGGCTCCATCTCGGCTACGTACCACCGCACCGGATACATACCGCTCGTCATCCGAAAACCACGCCGGCGACCGTTTCACCGTTATATGTGACATCCGTTGACTTTGACTACCAGATTACTTAATCTAACATTGATTTCAAAACTTTGAATATTGTTTTAATAAACCGGCCACAGGCCATATCACACCAAAATACGTGTACCTTAATTTCAAGTGCGAGTGTCGTTTGTGTCACCCTACTTCCACTCCACACCCGACGACCGGCTGACTGCGTCGATCAACATCGCCGTAGCCGTGTCAGGACTTGATGGACCAAAACATTGCTACCTACAGAATCAGTATACGTGGAAAAAAATGGTGGTGGCCAATCTTCACTTGGTTAATAGATGTAAGCGTAAATAATGCTTGGGTATTACAAAGGAAAGTAAATCCAAATATGCCACAACTTCAATTTAGACGTGAAATAGTCCGCAATTTGCTATTAAAATACGGGACGAAACCTAAAGTTGGAGGAAGGCCATCCACATCGATGTCAAGTGTCTCTTGTAATAGAATAAGTGATAATATTAGGTACGATGGGAAAAATCATCTTATCATTCCAACCCTAGAAAAAAAAAGAAAAAGATGTGCTGGTGAAAGGGTGTTCGTCGAGTAACGTGGGCCTCTGCATTGAATGTTTCAAAATATTTCATTCTGTAACATTGACGCGGACACGATGATTGCTTCAAGGTTGATCGTGGTCCGGTCGAAGTGTTTGGTTAGGATTGAAGTGATGAAAAAAAACACAACACAAACACTTTAAGAATGTCACAAATTATGTATTATAATATTGCGATCAAAATATAATAATACATGACGTGCCGCTCGGGCAGATGAGTTTAACGTCGGACGATATGTTATCGGTCCGACGGTCCGATGGTGGATCTCGAATCGCCTTTTCCGCCGACCGTTGTACGTCTTAGGGCTCTTTCACACAGTCCGTTTCTTTAACGGCAACGGAAACGGATCGGATGAAAATAAAAAACGGACAATATTTTCACACAGTCCGTTTGTTTAACAGCAACGGAAACGGATCGGATAAAAATAGAAAACGGACAATATTTTCACACAGTCCGTTTAACGGCAACATTGACTTTTATTATAATTTACTACTCGATATTATCCAGTTCCAATCGGTACGTTGTGTGCAAATATTGTGAAGTTTTTGTAATCATGGTGTTAAAAAAGCAATCAAAAAAGTTATTAATTTTATACTTACTTTACCGAAGGCACAAACTAGTAATAAGACCTCACAGAAGAAAGTACTGGGTTCATCCAATATTACAAAATCGTGAAAATTTGGGTGTTTACAAAACTTTATATAATGAATTAAGGTCGGACCCAAAAAAATTCTTTAATTTTTTTCGGATGTCAATTTCTACATTTGATGAATTACATGTTACTCTAAAAGAAGAAATATCTCGTAAAGATACAAAAATGAGGAAATCTATAGGATCCGAAGAAATGTTGGCCATTGCTATAAGGTAAGTAGGTATTTCAAAATGATATAATTTATAATACCTATATTAATGCTTTTATGAATATTTATTTATGAAAACTAATAAAATGTACCTTTGTTTATAACATTTAAAAATATAAAATAAATGTACCTTTGTCAATAACATTTAAAAATATAAAATAAATTTACCTTTGTAATAACGTTTGAAAATATAAAATAAATTTACCTTTGTTTATAACATTTAAAAATATAAAATAAATGTACCTTTGTCTATAACATTTAAAAATATAAAATAAATTACCTTTTTGGTATAAACTCATTAATATAAATGCATTATAAAATAATTAAAATATTTTAAAAAAAAAATTAATTATTATTATATTCTGATGTCGTTTCACTGTAGTCAGAATAAGATGTAGATACAGAAGGTACTGGCGAAATAAAAGTTGAATCACTGGAAGCGGCTGCACTTTGAAATGATCTTATATAATTTTGTAAATTAACTGTAGGCGAAGCTGGGATCGAGTGTACATTTGTATTAAGAAATTCGGATTGATAATTTTGTGACATACAAGAAGTGTTATAAATATTTGTAGGTTGAGGATTTGGTGTAGAATGACCAATAACATTCCTCTTTTTAATAGATTTGATCAAGTTCATTACACCAATACGAAAATCAAATGTCTCATCTTCATTAAAATGTTTTATTGATGGTAAAATGCTTTCAAAAAAAGACATGTGTGGGTTTATAACATTTTGCTCACGTGGTGTTTCTTGAGTTTCTATAATATTTAAGATTCTGTCTTCAAAATCATCTGTTTTTTTCTTTTTTGTTTTTGGTAATGTGGTTTTTGAAGACATCGGGGATTTCGAATTGAATTTGATCGAAACAGTTTCTTCAGCCGTATTTTCATTTTCTACAGCATCACAAAATTCGTCAATTATACTGCGGTCATTTTCCTCTTCAAAGATATCATTATCTTTTGATAAGCTTGAAATTGTAGGTCTTTTGTCGACTACTTTTTCTAAAAACCTTAACTGTTCGTGATATATATATTTTTTGGATTTATTTGCACCAGATCCAGATCGTTCATTTCTTTTAAATTGTTTGTATGAACGAACCCAATTGTCCCTAATATTGGACCACTTATTGAGATACATTTTCCCTAAAAATATTTCATTATTATTAATTATTATACACAGCAACTTTTCTGATAGGAAAGTGAATCTAGTTGGTACTTTGGGGGGATCAAAAGTAAACAAATTTCAATACTTTTTAAACGTAGCGAGAAAAACCAACAAAAAATTAAGGAAAAAACGGAAATTTTTATTATATTTAAATTTTTATTGAACATTTGCAAATTATTTCGTAGTTAAATATGTATAAAATGTTTAGTTTTTATAACTAAGGATTGAAAATTTTAAACAAGGTTTTTCATAAGTTTTTTTTAAATGCGCATAAAAAATATTTAAGATAAGTATGCACACTTTTTATTTATAGGCATTTAAAGTTTAAATGTTGACCAGATTTATCGAAATCTCGAATATTTGCAAATTGATTTTTAGTTATAAATTTATAAAATATCCTAGACCGACAAATCGCCTCCGCTCAGAATCGTTTTTCGTATACAATGACTATACAGCAGAGCGACATCCACTTAACAGCTTTTTTTATATTGTTTTTTAGATATCTTGCAAGTGGCTGTACATTGACAGAAATCCATTTTACTTTTCGAATTGGAATTTCTACTGCAAGTAAAATAATACGAACTGTTTGTTGCAAAATATGGGACGTTTTAAAAAACAAATATATACCTGCTCCGTCAAAAGAGAATTGGAAAACAATAGCAAAAGGGTTCGAAAAAACTGCCAACTTTCCACATTGTTTAGGTGCCATAGATGGAAAGCATATAAGGCTTATTATGCCAGAAAAAAGTGGATCGATGTACTACAACTATAAAAACTATTTTTCTATAGTGCTGCTTGCTGTAGCAGATTCAAATTATAGATTTACGTACATAGACATTGGAGCGTATGGAAAAGAATGTGATTCTACAATATTTAAAGAATCGTCACTGTGGAAATTAATGGAGAAAAACGAATTACATATACCTGATCCAGAACCGATAAATGAATTACAAGATCAAGATTTTCCTTATGTTTTTTTGGGTGATGAAGCATTTGCACTTACAACAAATTTACTAAGACCTTTCGGTGGCTATCACTTAACTACAACTAAAAAAGTTTTTAATTACCGGCTAAGCCGAGCACGGCGATACGTAGAGTGCGCCTTTGGTATACTTAGTAATAAATGGCGTATATTGCATCGGCCATTGAATGTTGCCACAGATTTTGCTGTTGATATTGTCAAAGCTGCTTGTATTCTACATAATATAATTCGCGAAAAAGACGGACTTCATTACGAAGAACACGAAATCAATGAATTACCTATAATGGGATTTGAAGACGCGGTTCATCAATCAAACTATGTACGAGGAGGACGACATGCCAATGAAATTCGAAATAAGTATGCTGAATACTTCGTAAGTGATGCAGGATCAGTGCCATGGCAAAATTCAAGTATATAATAATTCAATATAATGAAATAAGTCAATTAGTTGATTTAAGTTTATATCGGTTACACAAACAATACGATCCTAACAATTGTTTTCATTAAAAAATTATAAAATCTAAATATATGGTACTTATTGGTCTTGAATATAAAAATATTTTTAAGTTTTTAATATTTATTAAGACTTACTTATATCATCTTTTTGTTTGTCTGATTTATCATCAAAATCCTCAACAAATGCCAAACATATTTCCTTCCATGCACTCCTTGTTAAGTTTCTGTCTTTGTACATTTCTAGAGTTTTATCCCAAATTACTGGCCGTTCTTCGATCATAGTGATCAGAAGTTCTAAATTCACAGATTCAGACATATTTTTTTAGTTTTGTAGAAAAAATGTTAATAGAAAATATGTCACTAGTCACGACGACGATGAACACAAGTTGACTACTAATTACTACAAATACTACCAAAAAATCTAAATAACGGGGAACGGATAAAAATAATCGGATACGAAACGGAAAGTGTGAAAGGTTATATCTATTAATGTAGTCTCGATAAACGGTCCGTTTGAAAAACGTTCCGACGACGGAAATATATCGAGGCAATCCGTCGATTCATCCGATAACGGGCCGGCGGGTTATTTGTCCGTTGGTTAAAACGGATAGTGTGAACGGATAGTATAAATAACTATGTTTCTTATCTACTCCGTTTTCTATTTTCATCCGATCCGTTTCCGTTGCCGTTAAAGAAACGGACTGTGTGAAAGAGCCCTTACGCGACACAGTCCCCCCGTCCCGCCTTGTCGTTACCGGCTCGGTGAGAGAGTCAATACGGTCGCGCTGCTTGCATCCCGTGGTGGTGGTTGGAGATAAGATGACTGGTCGCTATAGTGCTTGTACATTGTACTTGCTACTAACGCGGGCCGCGTCATACTCCCCCCCCCAAACCACCATACGGGGTGCCACAGCGTACTGTTGTCGGTGGATAAGTGGTTCAGCTCGAGGTACCCCTTGCCATGTGAGCTTGCCTTGCTGACACCCTCCTAGTCCCTCTCTGGTAGGTGGTGTTGGTTGTTGGCCTCGTGCTTTGGTGCCTCGTTGTCGTTGGTATGGCTGCGACGTGGCGTTGGTTATCCATGGTGCACGGCTCTGTTTGTTGCATGTGTCCGTCTGCCATCCGGACTGTGTTCGTTGGTCCGTGGAGGGGTTTGCCGTATTTACAGGCTATGGTCGGGTTTACGTACGATTTGGGTCTGTGGTTCTAATAGCGCCGTTACGAAGCCTGACGGACCGAATTTTGTCCGGGCGTGTTCGTGTGACGTTATTAGACGTATTGCAATCGGTCGAGCGGGGCAACTGGTTCTAAACCGCGACAGAGACTTGGTGGTCGGTGTTGACCGCCATGACCAAACTGTCCCTGTCGGTTGTCTCGGTGCTCGCCTGATGCTTTACGTATACAGAATGACCTATAATGCGGGGGTGTGCGAAGTTGGTGTGCTTGCGCCCCCGTCACCTTTACCCGTGGCTCTGTTACCTTTGTCCCTACACCTGCGGCTGCCCCATAAGCCGTTGATGTTGACCACACGTGTCACCGGTGAGGTGAGTGTGGTGGATGGTGGGGTGGTGTAGGTTTGGGATTTAAGAGTGGGTGCCGATAGGTGGTGTGGTGACGGAAAAATTCGTAGTTGGTTTTTCGTCGTTACGAATTACCGAACTACGTGCGCGATGATGGCATAATTTTTCTCCGTCCGTACTACCGAAAATATGGTATGATGGGTGACGAGAGGTGGGTGGAGATATTATCCGACACGAAGTCAAAACGCCTGCTATGCGTCGAAGCACGCTGAACGTAAATGTTATATGTAGCCGGATATGTGTACCTACGGAAAGTGTCGCGCGTTCGCCGGACGATAACACCTACCTACTCCGATTCGGATAGGCCAGTATTAACGTGCGGGGCGCGAGCTGGTTTTAAATCAGCACAAATTCCGTAAGTGATTGTGTGGACGTTTTAGTGTCTACGCGCTTGCGTGAGTAACGACTCGGTGTTGGCTAAAAACCGGACGGGGTGCTCGGCCCTTGTTCCGCGTAGAACTCGGTATTAACACCGATCGTACCTGCGCGCGTGCGGCGTATGACGGGTAGCGCGACGCGCTTCCCGTTTGACCAGAGTGGTCGTTGAAAAAGGTCGTTCATTTAAGGTGGCAATGTAAGTGACACCCGGCTGGGCGCTGACTACGTTGTACCTACTCGAACGACCTACCCGACTGGTAACCATCGTGTGTGTGAGTGGTAACGTGTACGGGTGACGGGTGGTTGATAGGCCACGGGATCTCAAAATTGTGTGGCTGCTGCACGCTGTTGGCTGTTCCGTGAAGAACTTCGCCATGCTAGCTTACAGCGCCAGCCAACGTGACTCGAACGTTTTCGTTTCGGTCGATTGGTGTAACGATTACGTCGATATTTTTTTTTTTTTTTTTTTTGATTCCGAGGCGGCTTTGAAAAGTTTGTCGTTCTATACGTGCGCGGTCCCTGCCTGATTTGTGGTCGACTGGAGCTTGGACTGTTGTGTACCGGCTGGCCGTCCGTGGATATTTACATAGCCCTAAAGCTAGCAATGTTGTCCCCGGACGGTGGCCTATACCAATCGCTAGCGCCAGTGTCTTCCAAAATCGGTGGTGTGTGGGGGTACGTACACGCTCGAATACGCGAGTATTGAACGACTATTATCAAATAATTTACGCCGACGTAAACAATGGTCAGCTGTTGACGGCCGCCGATGTGTACCAAATATAGCGAAACTGGGTCACGGAATCGGCGGCGGCGGCGGTGACGACGACTGGTTTTGACGTCACGGCCTGCGCGCTGCGCTGTTATCGGCAATAAAGTCGCGGACGAAAGGTGAGCGCCGGGAAGAGTGGCATTACGTTATGTAACTGCTTCCCATTCTGTATCACGGTTATTTTCGATCGCGCGGATTTCCCCTACGTAGCAGAGTTATACCTAATGGTTAATACCTATTACGTAATCCTAACTTGGGTAGATTGGAAATCCTAATTATTAATTACCATCAGTTAAAATAATTTGTTTTTCTATGTAACTGTTTAAAATTTTTTTACACTATACCAATTTATGAAATTAAATGACCATCTTGCTAACTTGATTTTTTAAACCAACTTCAGTATGATCAATATCATAGAACCATTTTACTGGTATATTTAATAACTTCATATTACTCATAACAGATTGAAATAAAGTAATTTGTTCTACCTTTTATGCAAAAATAAATAATAATTATAAAAATAGGAGATATAAAGGTTTTAAATAAGTACATAGGTACTATTGTTATAATATAGTCATATTATGTATAATAATAATAATATGACACCAGACACGTTAATGTTGGTATACACTGTGTTTTAAATTCTATACTTATAACCTTTTTACGCTTGGGCAATGGAGATTTATTAATTGTATCAGAATCTGAACCTTTTGATATATAACAATGATCTTTATTTATGGATGATATTATATCAATGGTATCCACAGTATATTCAGAGTTTGGGCATTCTTGTATATTATTTATTTTTTCATTTTTAAATAAAATATTGTATAAATTAGTTAGGTTTAGGTACAAAAATGCTTAGAGTTTATGTTGTTATATTATTATTTAACTTGTCATAACGTTATTTAGTTATAAATTCTTACCAAAATATTTGACTCATTATTGTTAACAATATATAAATTCACTGGAATAGCTCCATCTCTAAGTCTAGGTCTTTTTAGACACATCTACAAATATATATATATATATATTATATTTTTACCTATATTTGTATCAGTTCATAAATATACTATGCATATATTTATAAGTAATGATAGTATGATACTAACCGTGTATTTATTTATTCCATTTCCAGATTCCCATGTGTCTTAAAATGGTTACGACAAACACGAGAATTATTAGTTAAAGGAATACCCAAGACATTTTCCCATTCAGACCGTAAGGCGATATTCAATAGAACTTTGAAGGAACTAATCTTTGCATATTTGTCATGTGAAGGACAATTAGGTATACAACACGACATTTTAATTTAAAAAAAAAAAAACAATTTCAACAAAATTAAGCATAATATATTAAAACTTTATGAATAATAACATTTTTGTTATATATTGTCAAGATTTAAATTTGTATTTATCATGGACGATAGATCTATTTACTAAGATAATAGATAGTTATTATAATTTTATAGTGGAATATTTATCATGATTTAAATCGTGGTTTTTATAGGGGTCTATGAGAATTGAGAATAATATCACATAATAGATTTATTCTGTATTACTGTGGTAATAGGTAAATATTTGATATTCCCGCGCGGGAAAAAATAATAAGCTCGTAAATTCTGCTTCTATATTGGCACACATCATGCAAGCGCTAGTGGTCAATTTTCCAGCTGTTCTGGTTATTTAATTTGGTTGCCTGTTTAAAACGATCTTATCATAGGTCGTCGGGCGACCATACAATCTTAAATCGTGGTTTGAATCGAAAAGTCACGTGATCTACGGGTGCCCCTGCATACAGCGCTCATATCGGTTAAAATTAAAACTAAAAATTTTTATGTTATACCACAGAACAATATAGAATAGACACTCGATCAGCTGTGAGGGTTTACGTATCCCTACGGTATGATGTATTGGACTATAAAAGTTGTACCGTATCCGTAATCTGATAGAACGTTAGCAAAGTGTATCCCTCTTTGTTACGGAATTTTTATAAACGATTTTATATGAATTTTCATATTTTAAGTATCAATATTAAATTTTGGTAAGATGAATAAGGATTTTGTTTTAATATAAATTAAAAACTATAATGTAATTTTACATTGGTTTATTGTTAATGAAATAATATATTGTATTATTATTCTGTGGACTGATAATATTGATATGATTTATTTAAATGATAACATATGCCACGCCCCTTAGAGACTGTGCTCAAGGCCACAGTCACCCGATTTTG